TCAGCCCTAAACAAGACGCTATTGACTTCATTTCAATTCTCGAACTCTTCTGATATTTCGACTCTGATCCTACCGATGGGTGAAAGAATTGGATTACATCACCAACGTCTGTGCCCTCTCCTGTTAATCGATGCGTTCTTTGAATTTTCTTTGTCCTCAATCATATTTGGGTATTTTAATTAAGAAGGTCCTTCATTATTAGACCTACCTTGGGATATGATTTATTAAACCTCTTCTTCTGTTCTTCCCGTATTTATTTTATCTTATTTTACAACATTAAATCTTCCTTCCATTTCTTGGAGTGTTGCTAACTCAGCATTCTTCTCTATCTTGATGTCTCTACTGTCTTACATTTCCTTAAATCTGTATATTGGTTTCTTTCTCATATTTCCCAAATCTATATATTGTCTCTTTCTCTTGTTTCTTTTATAAATCTGTATTGGTCTCTTTCTTGTTTCTAACCAAATCTGTATATTGGTCTCTTTCTCTTATTTCTACCTTAAATCCTATTAGCCCTCTCTCTTTTCTGTAAAATCTGTATAATAGTCTCTTTCTCTTGTTTCCCTTAAATCTATATTATGGTCTCTTTCTCTTGTTTTATAAATCTATATTAGTCTCTTTCTCTTGTTTCACTAAATCTGTATATTCAGTGTCTTTCTCTTGTTTCAGCCAAATCTGTATGTTAATCTCCTTTCTCTGTCTTCCCCCTTAAAATCTACCTCTTCTGGTTTCTTTCTCTCTTGTTTCTACCTTAAATCTGTATGTTGGTCTCTTTCTCTTGTTTCTACCCTTGAAATCTGTATATTGGTCCTATTTCTATAAATCTGTATTAGCCTCTTTCTGTTTCCTACCTTCAATCTATGTTAGCACCTCTTTCTCTTGTTTTCTACCTTAAATCACAACTATTGGCCTCTTTCTCTTGTTTTCTCTTAAATCTGTATATTAGTCTACTATCTTGTTCCTCCAATCCTTCTTCTAGTTTCTCTTGTTTCTACATAATCTATGTTGGTCTCTTTCTCTTGTTTCTATAAATCATATTGGTCTCTTTCTCTTGTTTTCTGTAAATCTGTATAAACAGCTCTTTCCTCATTTCTACCTTAAATCTGTATGTTAGCCCTCTTTCTCTTGTTTCTACCTTAAATCTGTATGTTAGTCTCTTTCTCTTATTTCCCTTAATCATATGTTGGTCTCTTTCTCTTGTTTCTTGCTTCAAATCTGTATATTGGTCTCTTTTCTCTTGTTTCCTTAAATCTGTATATTAATTTCTATCTTGTTTCTACCTTAAATCTGTATGTTGAATGCTCTTTCTCTTCATTTCTACCTTAAATCTATATTAGTCTCCTTTCCTCCTTACCTACTTCAATCTGTATGTTGGTTTCTTTCTCCTTTCTTGTAAATCATGTTGTTCTCTCTCTGTTTTTCCCATAATCCTCTTAGTCTCTTTCTTGTATTTCTACCTTAAATCTGTATATTGGTTTACTCTTGTTTCTTACCTTAAATCCTATATATTGTTTTTCTTTCTCTTGTTTCTACTTAAATCTGTATATTTATTCGTCCTCCTTTCTCTTGTTTCTGTAAATCTGTATGTGTGGTCTCTTTCTCCCTTTCTGCCTTAAATCACCAACCCTATATTCAGGTTTCTTCTCTTGTTCTACCTTAAATCTGTGTATTGGTCTCTCTCTTACCTTTCTGCCAATCTCTGGTAGGTCTCTTTTCTCTTGTTTCTCTTCAAATCTGTATATTAGGCTCTCTTCTTCCTGCCTTAAATCCCTCTGTATATTAGTCTCTTCCTCTTGTTCTACCTTGATCTGCTATTAGTTCTCTTTTCATATTATTTCCACATGGAAATCTATATATTGGTCTCTTTCCTCCATTTCCCTTAAATCTGTTATTTTCTTTCTCTTGTTTCTACCTTAAATCTGTATAATGGTCTCTTTCTCTTGTTTCTACCTTAAATCTGTATATTGTCTCTTTCTCTTGTTTCTTAAATCTGTATGTGCCATCTCTACTACTTGTTTCTGTGGAAGGAAATCTGTACCTCTTTTCTTGTTTCTACCTTAATCTGTATATTAGCCTCTTTCTCTTGTTGACAATGTATATTAGTCTCTTTTCTCTTGTTTCTACATTAAATCTGTATATTGGTTTCTTTCTCTTGTTTCTGTCTAAATCCTTGTATTGGTCTCCTGCCTCTTGTTTCTACTGTAAATCTGTATGTTAGTCTCTCTGTTTCCCTTAAATCTATGTGGCCTCTTTCTCCTTTTCTCTATAAATCATGTATTGGCCTCTTTCTCTGTTTCCTATAAGTCTATATATTTCAGGTCCTCTTCTCTTTTCTACCAATCATATATTGGTCTCTTTCTCTTGTTCTACCTTTAAATCTGTATATTTAGTCTCTTTCTCTTGTTTCTGCCTTAATCTGTATATTCGTTTCTTTCTGACTCTTACCTTAAATCTCCTCCTCTTGGTCTCTTTCTCTTGTTTCTGCCTTAAATCTGTATATTGGTCTCTTTCTCACCTACACAGAAAATCTGCTTACTCTTGGTTTTCTCTTATTTCCTTAAATCTATGCTGTGGTCCTCTTTCTCTTGTTCTCCTTAAATCTGTATATTGGTCTTTTCTCTTGTTTCTACCTTAAATCTGTGTTGGTTTCTTTGCCTCTGTTTCTACCACCTTAAGTCTGTATGTGGTTCTTTCTCTGTTCTACCTTAAAATCATATTGGTCTCTTTCTCTTGTTCCCCTTCAATCTGTGTCTCTCTTTCTCTTGTTCTACCTTAAATCTGTATATGGTTTCTTTTCTCCCATTCCTCCATTCTGTATTGGTCTCTTTCTCTTGTTCTACAGCAAATCTGTATGTGGTCTCTTTCTCTTGTTTCTACCTTAAATCCTTATATTGGTTTCTTTCTCTTGTTTCCCCAGCAAATCTGTATGTTACGTTTCTTTTCTCTCTTATTTCTTCCTTAAATCTATACATATTGGTTTCTTTCTCACATTTCTGTAAATCTGTATATTGGTCTCTTTCCTTTATTTCTTATACATCTGTATATTGGTCTCCTACTTTTATTTCTATTAAATCATATGTTGGTTTCCTCTCTTTTCTATAAATCTGTATATTGGTTCTTTCTCTTATTTCCTTAAATCTGTATTGGTTTCTCTCATTCCCACCTTAAATCCTGCTATATTCTCTTTCTCTTGTTTCACCAATCTATGTTGATCTCTTTCTCTTCTTTCTGCCTTAAATCTGTATATTGGTTTCTTTCTCTTCATTTCTGTCAATCCTTCGTTTCCTTCTACTTAAATCTGTATGTTGGTTTCTTTCTCTTGTTTCTACCTTAAATCTGTATATTGGTCTCTTCTTGTTTCTGTAAATCTACCAGTCTCTCTTCTCTGTTTCTACATAAATCTATATTGGTTTCTTTCTCTTGTTTCCTTAAATATATATTGTTTTCTCTTGTTTCTACCTTAAATCATATATTCGTTTCTTTTCTCTTGGTTTCCTTAAAATCTTGTAATGGTCTCTTCTCTTATTTCATAAATCCATATATTGTTCTCTTTCTCTCTGTTTCTACCTTAAATCTGTATGTTGGTTCCTACTACATTCTCACCAATCATATGTTGGTCTCTTTCTCTTGTTTCTACCTTAAATCTGTATATTTTTCTCACCTTAAATCTGTATATTGCCTCTTTCTTGTTTCACTCTTTAAATCTGTATATTGTTCTTTTCTTGTTTTACCTTAAATCTGTATATTGGCTCTTTCTCTTGTTTCCACCTTAAATCTGTATATTGGTCTTTTCTTGTTTCTCACCTTAAATCTGTATATTGGTCTTCTTTCTTTCTTGTTTCACTAAACTATATATTGGTCTCTTTTCTTGTTTCACCTTAAATCTGTATATTGGCCTCTTTCTCTTGTTTCTACCTTTAAATCTGTATATTTCACCGACACGCTTTTAATGTTTTATTCAAACCAAAAGTCACACATTTACCTTACCTCCCGGGTCACACCTGCTATAATTACTGACTTGTCTTCTTCATCAGTGGCCCCAGACCTTGCAAAAACTCGCATAATTCTGCTTTGTTTTATTTTAGTACAAGAGGTATGCCATTTTGTCTTCCTCACTTCTGTTGAGTACAATCACTCACTTCACTTCACTTCACTTCACTCTTGATATTCAATATAGATTTTAGTCTCATATGTAAATACAGGACCCACTGAAGCTAAAAAAATATTTTTTGTTTTATTGCTTATTATTTTTTTTTAGGTATTATTGCACAAGTCATCTGGCATTGAATTAGGAGAATTTTTTTAATTTGTAAGAAAATAGTTTAGACAATTCCAAGACATTTTTCTTCTATGATATTTATCTCAAGAATGTACTCTCAAGGAGGTTAGATCAGATCAGGTCAGTCATTTACAAGAAATAAATGTCATCGTAAAAGGCATTACAGAAATTTTGCAATTCTTCTTCCTAAATTTTTTCAGAATACTTTTTTTGGCTTATTCATTCCCCTTAAATATAAATTCACATACTCTACAATGCTAATGGACCATTGTTTACATCTACGACATTTCTAACTTGTAGTCATATACAGATTTTTTTTATAGAAGATGAACACATATTTTATAATAATAATAATACCTGTAATAATATTTAATCAGAATCACCACAAAGGTTTGAAATTTGTTCAACATGTATACTGTATACACCACCATGTATATACACAATACAGGTATACAGTCCAGCATGTATATACACAATGTAGGTATACAGTTCACCATGTATATACACAATACAGGTATACATTATATGGTATACATAGATTGTGGAGGTATTACGAAGCTCGATATATAATACGCACGAGGACCCCGACCGTCGACCAGTGTTTGGCCGCTGCCCAGTAAGGGAACAACAGCCGGTAACAGGTATACACACCTGGACACTATAGGTCTACAGCATTAGTGAACAGTAAGACAACATAACACTCATTAACCATTATTGAGTTACTAATAATTCTCTTATTTCCAGACTCAATAAAATGGAGGAACAAGACGTCAACTGTAGCGTGTGTATGGAGTCCTTCAACGAACAACACAACAGTCCACGCACTCTGAGGTGCGGCCACACCCTGTGCTCGCCCTGTATAGAAGCTCTCCTCACCAAGTGTATTGTGGAGAGGAACTGTCCCGAGTGCCGCAAGCCTCTGAAGATCACGGCCGTCTGTCACGTCCCGGTCAGCTACACGATACTGAGGATGGCCAGCGCTCTGGCCAGGGTCAACGACGACCCTCCGGTGGTTAGAATCCAGACCGAGGACGGGGAGGTGTGCACGGATCACGGAGGCCCGATAATATCCTACTGTACGGCGTGTGACGTGTGGATGTGCCCGGACTGCCGATGCGACGACGACCCCGCTAGATCCGTCAACGTGCCCGAGGGTCTGCTGCACTTGAAGCGAGGGTTCGTGGAGAAGATGGAAGACGGCGTCAAGTATCTGAACGAGCGGAAGAACGAACTGGAGAAGGAGAGAGACGACGCCGACCGCCAGACCGCACGATTCCAGAGGACACACCGCATCGTGGGGAAGAGGCTCAAGAAACTGCAGGAGGCCATCGGGAAAGTGGAGGAATTTGAGGCTCTGGCGGTGGAGGCCGGGTCGTCGAGGAGACTCCAGAGGCTCATAGACCGAGGAACGACGTACGCGGCCGATGTCAGAACCTGGTTGACGTCGGAGCTAGAACCTCCTCAACCATACCCGTGTATTTCCGCTGCGTCGCTGCCCAATAATAGGGGACCTATTCGGAAAAACGGCCACCTCGCCTTCGCTCGAGGAATTCCGCCCCATGTTACTTCACCCTGCCAGTTCGCGGTAACTATAAATCGTGTGTACCTATGCAGTGGAACCTCCATATAGCGGACGTCTCTCACCTTATAGTCCGTTAGATGGGGGTTCACCTCTGACGGACCCTCGATATAACGGACTTTCATCTCTTTATAGTTCATAACTTGGAACTTTTACTGTTGGATGACTTGAAGGTAATATTTACCTTAATACTAACCTAACCTAACCCTACCCTACCCATGTCATTTATGTTCTTGCATTTCCACAGGATTTAAGGGAGAAATTGACAATTAGCCAAAACATGTACGCTAGACTTGACGAGACCGGCACAACGCGCTGGTCGAAATTGAGCGTCCAGGGAGGAAATCTGTTTCTACAGTCGCTAATCTGTACGGCACCACCGGCCGGAGCAACGCAAATCCCGGTAATGATCTTCGTCTACTCGCTTAATTACTTTACTATTCCGGTGTTGATGATTGAAATATATCCCCCATTCTTGGGTTCATCTGAAGATTATCTCCCGGAGGATATATTTTTAATTATATCTCCAAGGGGTAGAATTATACTTTCTGATTCTTAAACTAAAGGTAAAAAGGTAACTAGTTTATTTATATAGAGAAACAACAACATGACAGACTTAAGAACATAAGACTGGAGGAAACAGTAACTATTGGCCAATCCTGTTTACACCAACCACACACTCTCATATTGGTATATCCATCCAAGCCATCCAGCGTAGTCGAGTTAATGATGATGTTTGGTAACTTGTTCCACTCGTGTATTACTCAGTGTTTACCTAGTTTGTGCTTAAATATATATTTGTCTAATTTAAAACCATTGTTAAGAGTTCGCTCCTGGTTGGATAGTTTGAGTACCTTTGTTATGTCACCTTTGTTTAGCCCTGACTTCCATTTATACACCTCTATCATATCGTCCCTCACTCTACGTCTCTCGAGGGAGTGCAAATTAAGATGCTTTAACCTGTACTCAAGGTTCCTAATGCCCGGGATTAGTCTTGCCATTCTCCTCTGAATTCTTTCCAAGGATTCTATATCCATTCTGTAACACGGTGACCAGAACTGAACTGAGTGATCCAAGTGAGGTCTGACAAGCACAAGATATAGTTTCAGGAATACCTCTCTAGTCTTGTAACTAACACTCCTTTGTATGAACCCAAGTACTTTATTAGCCTTGTTTCGAGCCAATACACATTGTTTACTTGGTTTAAGATTCCTACTTATCATTATTCCTAAATCTTTCTCATGGTCTTTATTTTTGTGATGAAAATATTATAAAAAATAAAGTAAAATTACATTTTCATATAAATAATAACTAAATCTCGGTATGTATTATAAAAAAACATAACACGCCTTGCACACGGAGTCTGTTGGGCTTGTGAGTGGTGACGCCAGTATAAACAGTCGCAGCCGACGGGCCTTTTGTTTTCATGCATCTGAACAGGAGGAAAATATTCTCGGGTTTCTTACGTCATTTTTTGCGTCCCTATTCAACGTGAGCAAGAGAGCAAGTGATGGTAGTGCCGGTTCAAAAGGTAAAAGAAAGTGTATAAGCTTAGCCGAGAAACTGGATGTGTTAAAACGACATGAAAAAGGTGAGAGGTCTTTGGATATTATATGGAGCAAGCAATGAACATATCTTCTGAAGTGGATCCATTAACAGAACGAAGCATTACAATTAACAGGGACGTGAAAAACACCTATGACCTCTATATAAAGATGTATAATGAGAAAAGAAAGCAGCTGTGCAAGGTTCTTTTGACAGCTTTATTATTCAACTTGAGTTATACCATCAAATTCAGCATCATAAGCAGCTCCAACAACAACTTCAGGTTCAGCACAATATTCATTGGCTGTCCTTTTGTTTTAGACTTTACCACCATTTGTGAGTAGAATTTTGTTTAACATTAGTAAGTATTATTTAAAACCTATATGAACAGTAATAAGTGTTGCTTCATATTCTTATGTAGAGATATGACGATGTTTTCACATATAACCACTTGTATACTGTGGCTTTCCCAATCAATTTCGTTTTTTCTTTACCATTAATGGTTAACTACTGTACTTGTATTGTTACATTTATTAACATTACTTAACACATACATATTAATTTTTTACATTCATTTCACTACAGCTATAACCAGGGTCTTATTTCTTCAGTTTGTTCTGTAGAACCATCGCTACAGGTGTCGTTAACATAATGAAATCAATGCCGTCTCGTCTCTTGTGTGTTTTAATATTCCACGTACAGTGTCATTAATAAATTGCATTGTTCATTTCACATATATAAACATTAATTCAATCAAATACAGGAGGTCAGGTCAAAACAATACATCCACTAACCCACACAAACATAAGAGGAGCTTAAAAGAAAGGGCGACGTAACTAGTCGTGTTAAGTTAGGTCAAAAATGTGAGGCCCAGTAATAATCTATCCTACATCTACCTCAAATGCTTTCAAGGTAATTTTACCCTTGGGCCACTAACAAATAAATTTGTGTAACATATTATCAGTTTTGTACTGACCATCACTAAGGTTTATAGAATTCAATTCTCTCATCAAACTTGGTTCAACCAGAAGTCTTTCTGTGACACATGATGATTTATACACTTCTAAGCTGTTTTTCCAATCCATGGGATGATTATTGTTCCTTATATGAACGAACAGCGCCCTGCTTTCAGATGTTGTTCTACTTGTGCTGTTTAATTCTAGGTTGCAATGTTTTCCCAGTCTGACCTACATAATTACCATTACAATTGCTACATGGAATGCAATAAACACTTCCATTCTCATTGAAGGTTTAGCTATTATTAATTAACATACTAGTAATAGTTGAGTCATGCTCTCTCTCTATGTTATAAGGTGTCTTAATGTTTACAGTTCATGGAGGTGATGAGGTCGTACCTGGACTCGGGCAAATGGAGGACATTCATGGACATCCACTGCGACGACCGCCACGAGGGCCGAGTCTTCTTCCTCATGTTCAACCGTTCCCGCCGAGCCATCAACTTCGTCCGCCTCTGCACGGGTCAGAACGCTCCCGGCTATCGGGGTCTGAGGCTTCACGACGGGTATAGAGACGTGCCCGGGGTAGCGAGGCCGTTTCCCCTCGTTAAAGGAGGCGTCGAACTGGACAACTCGAGAGCCGTCCGCCCCAACACCGAGTTCAACAACTTTGACGAGGACATCGAGAACAGGAACATATACGACAGAGCCGTTCATCCTGGTCTGGTCACCGGATCTATGACACATGAACATGGCAAAGAGGCTCGGTTCTATGTCAACCTCTCCTGTAAGACTGGCATTGACACGGGTAGTTTCGGTAAAGTGACAAATGGCCTCAGTATTCTGAGGCAATACTTTCATACCATTACTAAGGAGAACGCACAGCCAATCATAGGAGACTGTGGGATTATGGTGCCTCTATCGTGAACTGTTTCTCATGTTTGACCGTTTTAATTTAGATACTGTTATCACTTGAAGATTATCCCAACCATTAGTTTATTTAACCTAACTTAATCTACCCTATCCTATCTTATGTTAACCTAACCTTATCTTCTCCCTTTATTAACCTAACTTAACCCCCCTCTGGTAGTATCAAGGCGGCGAAGTATTAGATGTAATTAGCCTGTGGGATGGGGGTAATCTTCAAGTAAGCGAGGTATTGTTTCCTATTGAACTAAACTACAGAGCACTGATCATGCTTAACTTTTTATACGTTTCAATTAAGATTTCTCTCGTGTGTGTGTGTGTGTGTGTGTGTGATGAGGATGAATGGTTACACAATACAGACTCAAACACAAATTACATCTAGGTATGGGACAGTAAGGTTCAGCTCTTAACGTCATTATAAGCTTTAACTTAAAAACTCGCCCGTGCTTGGGGGTAATCCTAGAGCTTTTGTAACGAGGGTACAGTACACTGTTTTGATATTGTTTATAATGGGTTAATACTGGACAAAAACTGCCATGTTCCTTCATAAACCATTGTTAGTAAATACTGTAACTGCTTGGTTGGTTCACACTGGGCCAGACACAAACCCAGGACTGTCTAATCATCAAGGTGGAAAGAAACTGGGTGTCTAATCTCTACTTCAGTATCCCACAAGGCCTACTTTGGCAGTCAGCTCAAGAAAGACTTACTGTTTATAGATTAAGTCAACTCATCTATACAGTATTGTACGTATATATAGTCAACCATTGTCACAAACACGAATGTATAAACGACATAATCACCACAATGTACGGACGACATGAACTATTTTGCCTTATGGTATAAATGAATTTTCAGAAAAATTTAATACTGTACTCAGTTTTCTGTATTGTTGTGAATATCTAGTGTGTGTGTGTGTGTATGTGTATTTTTTAAGGCACTTTTATGAGTATTAGGAATGATCAACATCACTAGAATTACAATTTCATAAGAGTTTTTGGGTAAACGTAACGCAAGCATTTTATTTTTGTACTGGGAGGCGATAACCATTTGTTGTTTGGAACGATCAAGGAATGAATTATTGTCTACCCATAACTAAGTATTATTTCTTTGGAGTATAGAATTAATTTGAGGTAAATTATACAAATTATCACCTTAACCGGATACCTTCACTTAACATTGAGAGCCTACCTTAACTGGATACCTTCACTTAACACTGAGACTCTACCTTAACTAGATACCTTCACTTAACACTGAGACTCTACCTTAACTAGATACCTTCACTTAACACTGAGACTCTACCTTAACTAGATACCTTCACTTAACATTGAGACTCTACCTTAACTAGATACCTTCACTTAACACTGAGACTCTACCTTAACTAGATACCTTCACTTAACACTGAGACTCTACCTTAACTAGATACCTTCACTTAACACTGAGACTCTACCTTAACTAGATACCTTCACTTAACACTGAGACTCTACCTTAACTAGATACCTTCACTTAACACTGAGACTCTACCTTAACTAGATACCTTCACTTAACACTGAGACTCTACCTTAACTAGATACCTTCACTTAACACTGAGACTCTACCTTAACTAGATACCTTCACTTAACACTGAGACTCTACCTTAACTAGATACCTTCACTTAACACTGAGACTCTACCTTAACTAGATACCTTCACTTAACACTGAGACTCTACCTTAACTAGATACCTTCACTTAACACTGAGACTCTACCTTAACTAGATACCTTCACTTAACACTGAGAGACTACCTTAACTAGATACCTTCACTTAACACTGAGACTCTACCTTAACTAGATACCTTCACTTAACACTGAGACTCTACCTTAACTGGATACCTTCACTTAACACTGAGACTCTACCTTAACTGGATACCTTCACTTAACACTGAGACTCTACCTTAACTAGATACCTTCACTTAACACTGAGACTCTACCTTAACTAGATACCTTCACTGAGACTCTACCAACTGGATACCTTCACTTACTGAGACTCTACCTTAACTAACTTAACATGAGACTCTACCTTAACTGGATACCTTCACTTAACACTGAGACTCTACCTTAACTGGTTACCTTCACTTAACACTGAGACTCTACCTTAACTGGATACCTTCACTTAACACTGAGACTCTACCTTAACTGGATACCTTCACTTAACACTGAGACTCTACCTTAACTAGTTACCTTCACTTAACACTGAGACTCTACCTTAACTAGATCCCTTCACTTAACACTGAGACTCTACCTTAACTAGATCCCTTCACTTAACACTGAGACTCTACCTTAACTAGATACCTTCACTTAACACTGAGACTCTACCTTAACTAGATACTTTCACTTAACACTGAGACTCTACCTTAACTAGATACCTTCACTTAACACTGAGACTCTACCTTAACTAGATACCTTCACTTAACACTGAGACTCTACCTTAACTAGATACCTTCACTTAACACTGAGACTCTACCTTAACTAGATACCTTCACTTAACACTGAGACTCTACCTTAACTAGATACCTTCACTTAACACTGAGACTCTACCTTAACTAGATACTTCACTTACACTGAGACTCTACCTACTAGATACCTTCACTTAACACTGAGACTCTACCTTAACTAGATACCTTCATACACTGAGACTCACCTTAACTAGATACCTTCACTTAACACTGAGACTCTACCTTAACTAGATACCTTCACTTAACACTGAGACTCTACCTTACTACTTCTAGATACCTTCCACTTAACACTGAGACTCTACCTTAACTAGATACCTTCACTTAACACTGAGACTCTACCTTAACTAGATACCTTCACTTAACACTGAGACTCTACCTTAACTAGATACCTTCACTTAACACTGAGACTCTACCTTAACTAGATACCTTCACTTAACACTGAGACTCTACCTTAACTAGATACCTTCACTTAACACTGAGACTCTACCTTAACTAGATACCTTCACTTAACACTGAGACTCTACCTTAACTAGATACCTTCACTTAACACTGAGACTCTACCTTAACTAGATACCTTCACTTAACACTGAGACTCTACCTTAACTAGATACCTTCACTTAACACTGAGACTCTACCTTAACTAGATACCTTCACTTAACACTGAGACTCTACCTTAACTAGATACCTTCACTTAACACTGAGACTCTACCTTAACTAGATACCTTCACTTAACACTGAGACTCTACCTTAACTAGATACCTTCACTTAACACTGAGACTCTACCTTAACTAGATACCTTCACTAACACTGAGACTCTACCTTAACTAGACACCTTCACTTAACACTGAGACTCTACCTTAACTAGATACCTTCACTTAACACTGAGACCTTAACTAGATACGACTCTACCTTAATAGATACCTTCACTAACACTGAGACTCTACCTTAACTAGACCTCACTAACACTGAGACTCTACCTTAACTAGATACCTTCACTTAACACTGAGACTCTACCTTAACACTGAGACTACCTTAACTAGATACCTTCACTTAACACTGAGACTCTACCTTAACTAGATACCTTCACTTAACACTGAGACTCTACCTTAACTAGATACGTTCACTTAACACTGAGACTCTACCTTAACACTGAGACTACCTTAACTAGATACCTTCACTTAACACTGAGACTCAACCTTAACGAGATACCTTCACTTAACACTGAGACTCTACCTTAACTAGATACCTTCACTTAACACTGAGACTCTACCTTAACTAGATACCTTCACTTAACACTGAGACTCTACCTTAACTAAATACCTTCACTTAACACTGAGACTCTACCTTAACTAGTTACCTTCACTTAACACTGAGACTCTACCTTAACTAGATACCTTCACTTAACACTGAGACTCACAAAACTATCTTTATAAATATTATGTTAGGCAATATGACACAATGGATGAAGGAATTTGACAACAGTAACAAGACAACAGGAGCCACAGTGGTCATTGTGGCATTCATCCATCACCCCAAGTATAGACAGGTTTGTTTTAGTTGCTGTAAATCTGTGTATAATTTTAAGAACAAATCCTCAGATGAATCTTTACTTTCTCAACTCAAAGACCATTCCAGTGAACTTGTTTAATTTTTAGTGTAAATAAATTTTTTTTTTTTTTAGGAATTTTTCAAAGTTAAGCTTAACTTTATACAGTATAAAAAATCATTGGTTTTAGTCAAGAAATAAGGAAAAAATTGTAAAGTATTTTACTTGAAGAATTTAAAAGTTCATTTGGGGAATTTTTATTTTAATATTGTATTAGTTTTTAGGTATTTTTTGGTTTAATAAAAAAAATTAATAATAATTGATTTTACTGGACGGACTCAGGTAAATTCTCCAATGCAGTAAAACCTCCATTTAATGAACTATATAGAGATGAAAGTCCTTTATATCAAGGGTCTGTTAGATGTGAAACCTCCATCTAATGAACTATATAGAGATGAAAGTCCTTTATATCAAGGGTCCGTTTGATGTGAAACCTCCATCTAATGAACTATATAGAGATGAAAGTCCTTTATATCAAGGGTCTGTTAGATGTGAAACCTCCATCTAATGAACTATATAGAGATGAAAGTCCATTATATAAAGGGTTCGTTAGATGTGAAACCTCCATCTAATGAACTATATAGAGATGAAAGTCCATTATTTCGAGGGTCTGTTAGATGTGAAACCTCCATCTAATGAAGTATATAGAGATGAAAGTCCATTATTTCGAGGGTCTGTTAGATGTGAAACCTTCATCTAATGAACTATTTAGAGATGAAAGTCCATTATATTGAGGGTCCGTTAGATGTGAAACCTCCATCTAATGAACTATTTAGAGATGAAAGTCCATTATATTGAGGGTCTGTTAGATGTGAAACCTCCATCTAATGAACTATATAGAGATGAAAGTCCATTATATCGAGGGTCTGTTAGATGTGAAACCTCCTCCTAATGAACTATATAGAGATGAAAGTCCATTATATCGAGGGTCAGTTAGATGTGAAACCTCCATCTAATGAACTATATAGAGATGAAAGTCCATTATATCGAGGGTCCATTAGATGTGAAACTGTGGGGTACGGGTTGTTGGTTCACACTCAGGATGGGATGGAGAAAGGAAACTCACAATGTGCTCTCTGTATACATGTTGTATTGGATGTACAATGCAGCTTGGTGCTGGGAAGGCAGCATGGTTACAAGTGTGATGTAGAGAGAGCTGGTTGGTGAGGATGCTCAGAGGAGGACAGCTTGTGGGTCGCCATGCTCGCCGGCGGGAGCGAGGGCCGCCAGGCAGGAGGAGGAGGAGGTGTTGCTTGCTGGTAGGTGTAGGATGAAAGAAGGGTGGTCACCACGAGGTCAGGTCTTATATAGCGGAGGTAGGCGTGGCTTAGTAGTTGACCTCCGTCATGTAAGGCGGCGGTGGTTGACCTAGACACGAGGCATACACTGTGGAATTCGCGGGGTCGGCTACTCAGCGACAAACAGCGTTTGTAGGGGAGAAATCCACTACAAAACCTCCATGTAATGAACTATAAAGAGATGAAAGTCCATTATATCAAGGATCCGTTAGATGTGAAACCTCCATCTAATGAACTATATAGAGATGAAAGTCCTTTATATCAAGGGTCTGTTAGATGTAAAACCTCCATCTAATGAACTATATAGAGATGAAAGTCCATTATATCAAGGGTCCGTTAGATGTGAAACCTCCATCTAATGAACTATATAGAGATGAAAGTCCATTATATCGAGGGTCCGTTAGATGTGAAACCTCCATCTAATGAACTATATAGAGATGAAAGTCCATTATATCAAGGGTCCGTTAGATGTGAAACCTCCATCTAATGAACTATATAGAGATGAAAGTCCTTTATATCAAGGGTCCGTTAGATGTAAAACCTCCATCTAATGAACTATATAGAGATGAAAGTCCATTATATCAAGGTTCCGTTAGATGTGAAACCTCCATCTAATGAACTATATAGAGATGAAAGTCCATTATATCAAGGGTCCGTTAGATGTGAAACCTCCATCTAATGAACTATATAGAGATGAAAGTCCATTATATCAAGGGTCCGTTAGATGTGAAACCTCCATCTAATGAACTATATAGAGATGAAAGTCCATTATATCAAGGGTCCGTTAGATGTGAAACCTCCATCTAATGAACTATATAGAGATGAAAGTCCATTATATCAAGGGTCTGTTAGATGTGAAACCTCCATCTAATGAACTATATAGAGATGAAAGTCCATTATATCAAGGGTCCGTTAGATGTGAAACCTCCATCTAATGAACTATATAGAGATGAAAGTCCTTTATATCAAGGGTCTGTTAGATGTGAAACCTCCATCTAATGAACTATATAAAGTCCATTATATCGAGGTTTTACTGTAACTAACATGAAATATAGTTGTTTAAGTTGTTCAGTTCTGTATGGCCAATGTGTTGACATTTATTTAGATATTAAAACAGAAGTGAGAATATGGCTCTCTTTGACCTCTTATTTGTGGCTCTATTTGGAAAGTTACAAGGAATGGATGCAGTTCCAGGTATGAATGCCTGACTTACGAATGCCCGATTTACGAATGCCTGACTTCCGGGTGTCCGATTAACGAATGCCTGACTTACAAATGCCCGACTTATGAATGCCCGACTAACGAATGGCCGACTTACAAATGACCCAACGTATGGATGCCCGACTTAAGAATGCCCAACTTACACACAGGAACCCAATAATGTAAATTTTGATTCCTCAGAAAAATCTCAGAATGAAAATCCCATTACTGTTGGCCGAGTCATCCAGAGAGATGGTTGACGGCTGTTAATGGAGTTTGTAAGTAACCATCTGATGTGGATGACGGGTTGAGCAGTGCTGATGACAACGTAAGTAAACTTATAAAAATTTTAATAGTTTCCACTTAGATTTTTATTATTACAGGTGTATTTTTAACTAAATTTTGAAGTTGTGTTAAAAATCATTTTAATTTTTATGAAAGTTATTATTAACATTGTATAATTCTCAATACTGTAGAATGAATGAAAGAAGAAATATTTAATTTTAACAAAAAAACATTACATAAAAACTTGTAATACTAAAACAAAATTCAAATTATGTATTTACAAGATCGACGTATAATTTTTACGTATAATTTTTATTCACAAATGTAAGTCAAGTTAATTCCACAGGATTTCATGAGTGTGAATAAACAATGGAAGGAAACTTTATGGGTTATATAACTAAGCAAAATATTATTATAGCTAGATTATCATTACTGTATGCTATTGAAACGAATTATGTCTTTTGTATTCATTTTCCTCGTACAGTCGCCTCGCGTTTCATTTAAGCGTTCTTGGAATAATGAGATTGTTTAATTAATACCCAAACCTAGTTTAAGCGCACCTATTTTTTATAAAAACGCACTCAAGATGGTTTAAAGTTGCCGCACGTATTGGCCTGGCAGTGGAGTCGTGTGTGATGCCTGGTGAAGTGCTCTAAGTTATTACTATAAAGTCGGTCATATCATCATCAACTATTTTAATAATATTGATAATGTTGATAATGAAGTATTCTGTACAACAACTGTCACCACGTCCAGCAAGCTTCCTTCATAAGCCTTTCTCAGTTCACACCAGCACTACTTTTTTTCTGTACTCTCATTTGTATTGTGTTTATCATGTACCATTTTAGTGTTAAACGCCGTTGGGCATTCATAAGTCGGACATTCGTTAGTCGGGCATTCATAAGTCGGGCATTTGTTAGTCGGGCATTCATAAGTCGGGAATTCGTTAGTCGGGCATTCATAAGTCGGGCATTCGTTAGTCGGGCATTCGTAAGTCAGGCATTCATACCTGGGACTGCATCCATTCCTTGTAACTTTCCAAATAGAGCCACAAATAAGAGGTCAAAGAGAGCCATATTCTCACTTCTGTTTTAATATCTAAATAAATGTCAACACATTGGCCATACAGAACTGAACAACTTAAACAACTATATTTCATGTTAGTTACAGTAAAACCTCGATATAATGGGCTTTATAGAGTTCATTAGATGGAGGTTTCACATCTAACGGACCCTTGATATAAAGGACTTTCATCTCTATATAGTTCATTAGATGGAGGTTTCACATCTAACAGACCCTTGATATAAAGGACTTTCATCTCTATATAGTTCATTAGATGGAGGTTTCACATCTAACGGACCCTTGATATAATGGACTTTCATCTCTATATAGTTCATTAAATGGAGGTTTTACTGCATTGGAGAATTTACATGATTCCGCCCAGTAAAATAAATTATTATTTTTATTTTTTTTATTAAACCAAAAAACACCCTAAAACTAATACAGTATTAAAATAAAAATTCCCCAAATGAACTTTTAAAATTCTTCAAGCAAAATACTTTAAAAATTTGTCCTTATTTCTTGACTAAAACAAATGAATTTTTTCTATAAAGTTAAGCTTAACTTTGAAAAATTCCTAAAATTTTTTTTTATTTACACTAAAAATTAAACAAGTTCACTGGAATGGTCTTTGAGTTCAGAAAGTAAAGATTCATCTGAGGATTTGTTCTTAAAATTATACACAGATTTACAGCAACTAAAACAAACCTGTCTATACTTGGGGTGATGGATGAATGCCACAATGACCACTGTGGCTCCTGTTGTCTTGTTAGTGTTGTCAAATTCCTTCATCCATTGTGTCATATTGCCTAACATAATATTTGTAAAGATAGTTTTGTGAGTCTCAGTGTTAAGTGAAGGTATCTAGTTAAGGTAGAGTCTCAGTGTTAAGTGAAGGTATCCAGTTAAGGTAGGGTCTCAGTGTTAGGTAGGGTCTCAGTGTTAAGTGAAGGTATCTAGTTAAGGTAGAGTCTCAGTGTTAAGTGAAGGTATCCAGTTAAGGTGATAATTTGTATAATTTACCTCAAATTAATTCTATACTCCAAAGAAATAATACTTAGTTATGGGTAGACAATAATTCATTCCTTGATCGTTCCAAACAACAAATGGTTATTGCCTCCCAGTGCAAAAATAAAATGCTTGCGTTACGTTTACCCAAAAACTCTTATGAAATTGTAATTCTAGTGATGTTGATCATTCCTAATACTCATAAAAGTGCCTTAAAAAATACACATACACACACATACACTAGATATTCACGACAATACAGAAAACTGAGTACAGTATTAAATTTTTCCGAGAATTCATTTATACCATAAGGCAAAATAGTTCATGTCGTCCGTACATTGTGGTGATTATGTCGTTTATACATTCGTGTTTGTGACAATGGTTGACTATATATACATACAATACTGTATAGATGAGTTGACTTAATCTATAAACAGTAAGTCTTTCTTGAGCTGACTGCCAAAGTAGGCCTTGTGGGATACTGAAGTAGAGATTAGACACCCAGTTTCTTTCCACCTTGATGATTAGACAGTCCTGGGTTTGTGTCTGGCCCAGTGTGAACCAACCAAGCAGTTACAGTATTTACTAACAATGGTTTATGAAGGAACATGGCAGTTTTTGTCCAGTATTAACCCATTATAAACAATATCAAAACAGTGTACTGTACCCTCGTTACAAAAGCTCTAGGATTACCCCCAAGCACGGGCGAGTTTTTAAGTTAAAGCTTATAATGACGTTAAGAGCTGAACCTTACTGTCCCATACCTAGATGTAGTTTGTGTTTGAATCTGTATTGTGTAACCATTCATCCTCATCACACACACACACACACACACGAGAGAAATCTTAATTGAAACGTATAAAAAGTTAAGCATGATCAGTGCTCTGTAGTTTAGTTCAATAGGAAACAATATCTCGCTTACTTGAAGATTACCCCATCCCACAGGCTAATTACATCTAATACTTAGCCACTTTGATACTACCAGAGGGGGGTTAAGTTAGGTTAACAGAGGGAGAAGATAAGGTTAGGTTAACATAAGATAGGATAGGGTAGATTAAGTTAGGTTAAATAAACTAATGGTTGGGATAATCTTCAAGTGATAACATTATCTAAATTAAAACGGTCAAACATGAGAAACAGTTCACGATAGAGGCACCATAATCCCACAGTCTCCTATGATTGGCTGTGCGTTCTCCTTAGTAATGGTATGAAAGTATTGCCTCAGAATACTGAGGCCATTTGTCACTTTACCGAAACTACTCGTGTCAATGTCAGTCTTACAGTAGAGGTTGACATAGAACCGAGCCTCTTTGCCATGTTCATGTGTCATAGATCCGGTGACCAGACCAGGATGAACGGCTCTGTCGTATATGTTCCTGTTCTCGATGTCCTCGTCAAAGTTGTTGAACTCGGTGTTGGGGCGGACGGCTCTCTTGTTGTCCAGTTCGACGCCTCCTTTAACGAGGGGAAACGACCTCGCTACCCCGGGCACGTCTCTATACCCGTCGTGAAGCCTCAGACCCCGATAGCCGGGAGCGTTCTGACCCGTGCAGAGGCGGACGAAGTTGATGGCTCGGCGGGAACGGTTGAACATGAGGAAGAAGACTCGGCCCTCGTGGCGGTCGTCGCAGTGGATGTCCATGAATGTCCTCCATTTGCCCGAGTCCAGGTACGACCTCATCACCTCCATGAACTGTAAACATTAAGACACCTTAAGACAGAGAGAGAGAGAGAGAGAGAGGATGACTCAACTATTACTAGTATGTTAATTAATAATAGCTAAACCTTCAATGGGAGAGGATGACTCAACTATTACTAGTATGTTAATTAATAATAGCCAAACCTTCAATGTAAATGGAAGTGTTTATTGCATTCCATATAGCAATTGTAATGGTAATTATGTAGGTCAGACTGGGAAAACATTGCAACCTAGAATTAAACAGCACAAGTAGAACAACATCTGAAAGCAGGGCGCTGTTCGTTCATATAAGGAACAATAATCATCCCATGGATTGGAAAAACAGCTTAGAAGTGTATAAATCATCATGTGTCACAGAAAGACTTCTGGTTGAACCAAGTTTGATGAGAGAATTGAATTCTATAAACCTTAGTGATGGTCAGTACAAAACTGATAATATGTTACACAAATTTATTTGTTAGTGGCCCAAGGGTAAAATTACCTTGAAAGCATTTGAGGTAGATGTAGGATAGATTATTACTGGGCCTCACATTTTTGACCTAACTTAACACGACTAGTTACGTCGCCCTTTCTTTTAAGCTCCTCTTATGTTTGTGTGGGTTAGTGGATGTATTGTTTTTGACCTGACCTCGTGTATTTGATTGAATTAATGTTTATATACGTGAAATGAACAATGCAATTTATTAATAACACTGTACGTGGAATATTAAAACACACAAGAGACGAGACGGCATTGATTTCATTATGTTAACAACACCCGTAGCGATGGTTCTACATAACAAACTGAAGAAATAAGGCCCTGGTTATAACTGTAGTGAAATTAATGTAAAAAATTAATATGTATGTGTTAAGTAATGTTAATAAATGTAACAATACAAGTACAGTAGTTAACCATTAATGGTAAAGAAAAAACGAAATTGATTGGGAAAGCCACAGTATACAAGTGGTTATATGTGAAAACATCGTCATAAGAATATGAAGCAACACTTATTACTGTTTAAATAATACTTACTAATGTTAAACAAAATTCTACTCACAAATGGTGGTAAAGTCTAAAACAAAAGGACAGCCAATGAATATTGTGCTGAAGCTGAAGTTGTTGTTGGAGCTGCTTATGATGCTGAATTTCATGGTATAACTCAAGTTGAATAATAAAGCTGTCAAAAGAACCTTGCACAGCTGCTTTCTTTTCTCATTATACATCTTTATATAGAGGTCATAGGTGTTTTTCACGTCCCTGTTAATTGTAATGCTTCGTTCTGTTAATGGATCCACTTCAGAAGATATGTTCATTGCTTGCTCCATATAATATCCAAAGACCTCTCACCTTTTTCATGTCGTTTTAACACATCCAGTTTCTCGGCTAAGCTTATACACTTTCTTTTACCTTTTGAACCGGCACTACCATCACTTGCTCTCTTGCTCACGTTGAATAGGGACGCAAAAAATGACGTAAGAAACCCGAGAATATTTTCCTCCTGTTCAGATGCATGAAAACAAAAGGCCCGTCGGCTGCGACTGTTTATACTGGCGTCACCACTCACAAGCCCAACAGACTCCGTGTGCAAGGCGTGTTATGTTTTTTTATAATACATACCGAGATTTAGTTATTATTTATATGAAAATGTAATTTTACTTTATTTTTTATAATATTTTCATCACAAAAATAAAGACCATGAGAAAGATTTAGGAATAATGATAAGTAGGAATCTTAAACCAAGTAAACAATGTGTATTGGCTCGAAACAAGGCTAATAAAGTACTTGGGTTCATACAAAGGAGTGTTAGTTACAAGACTAGAGAGGTATTCCTGAAACTATATCTTGTGCTTGTCAGACCTCACTTGGATCACTCAGTTCAGTTCTGGTCACCGTGTTACAGAATGGATATAGAATCCTTGGAAAGAATTCAGAGGAGAATGGCAAGACTAATCCCGGGCATTAGGAACCTTGAGTACAGGTTAAAGCATCTTAATTTGCACTCCCTCGAGAGACGTAGAGTGAGGGACGATATGATAGAGGTGTATAAATGGAAGTCAGGGCTAAACAAAGGTGACATAACAAAGGTACTGAAACTATCCAACCAGGAGTGAACTCTTAACAATGGTTTTAAATTAGACAAATATATATTTAAGCACAAACTAGGTAAACACTGAGTAATACACGAGTGGAACAAGTTACCAAACATCATCATTAACTCGACTACGCTGGATGGCTTGGATGGATATACCAATATGAGAGTGTGTGGTTGGTGTAAACAGGATTGGCCAATAGTTACTGTTTCCTCCAGTCTTATGTTCTTAAGTCTGTCATGTTGTTGTTTCTCTATATAAATAAACTAGTTACCTTTTTACCTTTAGTTTAAGAATCAGAAAGTATAATTCTACCCCTTGGAGATATAATTAAAAATATATCCTCCGGGAGATAATCTTCAGATGAACCCAAGAATGGGGGATATATTTCAATCATCAACACCGGAATAGTAAAGTAATTGCTTATAGACGAAGATCATTACCGGATTTATGCTGTTCGCCGGTGGTGCCGCATAGACAATGCATTAGAAACAGATTCTGACGCCAATTTTCACAGTAGAGCCGTCTCCCAAGTCTAGCGACAAGGCTTAATTGTCAATTTCCCTTAAATCCTGTGGAAATGCAAGAACATAAATGACATGGGTAGGGTAAGGTTAGGTTAGTTAGTATTAAGGTAAATATTACCTTCAAGTCATCCAACAGTAAAAGTTCCAAGTAGAACTATAAAGAGATGAAAGTCCGCTATATCGAGGGTCTGGTTAGAGGTGAACCCCATCTAACGGACTATAAGGTGAGAGACGCCCGCTTATATGGAGGTTCCACTCACATAGGTACACACGATGAGTAGTTACCGCTAACTGGCAGGGTGAAGTAACATGGGGCGGAATCAGCGAAGATGGGGCTGCTTCCTAACAGGTTCTCTATTATTGGGCCAGCCACAGAGCAGTAGCGCTGACGCCTCCTCCTCAAACCAGGTTCTGACATCGGTCAAGACGCCGTTCCTCGGTCTATGAGCCTCTGGAGTCTCCTCGACGACCGCCTCCACCGCCAGAGCCCTCAAATTCTCCACTTCCGGCGGCCTCCTGCAGTTTCTTTGAGCCTCTTCCCCACGATGCGTGTGTCCTGGAATCGCAGCGGTTCTGGCCGCGCCCGCTCTCCCTTCTCCAGTCTGCTTCTTCCGCCGTCAGATACTTGACGCCGCCTTCCATCTTCTCCACGTAACCTCGCCTGCGCAGCAGACCTCGGCACGCTGACGATCTGCGGGTCGCCGCCGCATCGGCAGTCCGGCACATCCACACGCCACACGCCGCACAGCAGGATATTATCGGCCTCCGGATCTCGCACACCTCCCGCCCCTCGCCTGGATTCTAACCACCGAGGGTCGCCGAGCGACCCTGGCCAGAGCGCCCATCCAGTATCGTAGCTGACCGACGTGACAGACGGCCGATCTTCAGAGGTTTGCGGCATCAGACAGTTCCTTCCACAATACACGGTGAGGAGAGCCTATACAGGGCCAGCACAGGGTGTGGCCGCATCTCAGAGTGCGCGGACTGTTGTGTTGTTCGCTGAAGGACCCGCCACACGCCAAGTTGACGCCTTGTTCTCCATGTTATTGAGTCTGAAATAAGAGAATTATTAGTAACTCAATAATGGTTAATGAGTGTTATGTTGTTCTTACTGTTCACTAATGCTGTAGACCTATAGTGTCCAGGTGTGTATACCTGTTACCGCGTCGTTCTTCAAAGCCAAGCAGCGCCAAACACTGGTCGACGGTCGGGTCCTCGCATGAGAATATATATCGAAATAATTCTCCCAATCTAGACCATATAATGTATACCTGTATTGTGTATATACATGCTGGACTGTATACCTGTATTGTGTATATACATGCTGAATTGTATACAGTATACATGTTGAACAAATTTCAAACCTTTGTGTGGTGATTCTGATTAAATATTATTACAGGTATTATTATTATTATAAAATATGTATTATCATCTCTTAGTAAAAAAATCTGTATATTGACTACAAGTTAGAAATGTGAGATGTAAACAATGGTCCCAGAGCATTGTAGAGTATGTGGCAATTTATATTTAAGGGAATGAATCGCCAAAAAAAAGTACAGTATTCTGAAAAATTTAGAAGGAAAGAATTGCAAATTTTAATGCTTTTTCTTCGATGAGACATTTCTCTTAAATGACCTGATCCGATCTGATTAAACCTCCTGGGGTACATTTAGCAGATAAATATCAAGTAGAAGAAAATGTCTTGGAATTGCTCCAAATAATTTTTACAAATTAAAAAATTCTCCAATTCAATGCCAGATGACGTGCAATCAATACCAAAAAAATCAAATAAACTTAAAAAAACAAAAATATATTATTTTAGTTTAAGCCCTGTATTTACATAAGAGACTAAATCTATATTGAATATCAAGAAGTGAAGTGAAGTGAAGTGAAGTGGATTGTACCCAACAGAAGTGAGGAAGACAAATATAAACACCTCTTGTGACTAAAATAAAAACAAAACTAGAATTATGGAGATTTTGCAAGGTCTCTACTGATGAAGGAAGATGTCAATTATCAGAGGTGTGACCGGAGAGGTAAGGTAAACAGTGGATTTTGGTTTCACAAAAACATTAAAGCGGACGTGGAAATATACAGATTTAAGGTAGAAACAAGAGAAAGAGACCAATATAAGCAGATTTAAGGTAGAAACAAGAGAAAGAAACCAATATACAGATTTAAGGCAGAAACAAGAGAAAGAGACCAATATACAAGATTTAAGGTAGAAACAAGAGAAAAGAGACCAATATACAGATTTAAGGTAGAAACAAGAGAAAGAAACCAATATACAGGATTTAAGGTAGAAACAAGAGAAAGAAACCAATATACAGATTTAAGGTAGAAACAAGAGAAAAGAAACCAATATACAGATTAAGGTAGAAACAT